CGGAGAGCAAAAACTTGTGACTATTCTAGCATTTTTACACCAGTTGTTATTGATGTAAACACAGAGTCCGCCTCCTCGGCTCTTACCGCTGAGTTCTTTGTTTCTGTCGGCGCGGAAAGAAGCTAGCCCCTCCAGGCTAATGGCGTTGTCCGGGATTGATGATGTGAGCCACGTCTATGTCAGAATGAGAATGCAGCAGTCTCTAAACTCCCTCTTTGCTGAGAGCTCATGTTGAAGATGGTCAGTTTTATTGTCCAGTGAACGTACATTGGAGAGCAGGATAGATGGAAGTGATGGTCTGTAGGGGTTAGCCTTTAGCTTGGCTGCTAAACCTCCGCGACAGCCGCGTTTCCTCGGCCGGCTGCACCGCTTTCGCTTGGCTCTCCTCCATCGTGAGCTGCTCGACGAGTCCGCTGCATCGCAGGCCTCCGGGGCTTGATCCCGGAGCACTCTGGAGTCACGTAAACAGTCGAGCGTAGTGGTGGTTACAAGTCCAAATACACTGCATGATCGTAACTCCAGCAGGCGCTGGCGGTCAAGTGATGATCTGCTAGATTGATAAGCAGTTTGCAACGGGTCTGGCGGTATATTTTTATGAAAATCTCTGCAAGTTGGTCGGAGCTGTATGCCAGCCGCTGCCACCAGGGGCGTCGCCATTTCATCATGAGGCTGACTGGGGTTCAAGGAGACGGAAGCAGAGACAAAAAGCAGCTGTAAAAGGCGGCCCCGTCCAGGAAACACACAGCCAGCTCCCATGCCAGAGGACTAAGAGAACACATCCAGCCAGTCACGGTCAGAGAAACAGGACTACACTGGAAAACAGGCCAATCTCCAGCATCTATAAACAAGGGTGTGGATGGAGTCACAGCCAAACAGGAACAGACCAGATGAAGCTACTATGAGAAAAAGCAGAGAGCAGAACGTTAGAGATTGAACTAACAGATTCTGCAGAGTGGGAGAATAGAGATAGAATGAAGCAGAATATATATATATATATATATATATATATATATATATATATATATATATATATATACATATACATAGATATACATACAGATATACAGATATATATATATATATACTCTTTTTATTCTTATTTTTTATCTTATTATATTGTATAGTTGGATGTGTCTATATATCATGTAAAACTGTAACTAGAGCGTGTAACAAAAGTAATTTCCCTCTGGGATTATTAAAGTATTTCTGATTCTGATTCTGAGAATGATGGAAAAAGGGGTCCCTATGTCCCCCTAGTCCTTTATCAGCTCCCTTGCTGCTGCTCGGCTCTTTGCAAAAGTTACTAAAGTTTTTGCTAGCCTCGTTTGTGCTAAGCTCAACGTTTTGTGAGCCATCGTCCGTCAACTTGGATTGCATAGTTATTTTTGAGTTTGTTTGGTCTTCCAGGGCCTGGCATAGTTTCAACTCGAACTTAGTTACCATTGTTGTAGTGTCCAGTAATTTTTTAAAAGGGAATTTTCAGGACTTTGGTCAGGAGCAGTGTTGAACACGACCTTCTACCTTGTGGTCATACCCGGAAGCCCTGGAAGTAGATGTTAGTGTTTTTCATGTAGGTAAACCAAACTGCAGACACCAAAATAATAAAAGCATATTTTGCCGCCAGATTTCGACATTCTAAGTTAGGCGTTAATAGCTGCACTGTAAACCCGAATAAGTTGAAAATACTCAAAATCTTTGTCGTAACTGATTGCGTAAATGTTTTTAAGTAGAGGAAATAAATATTATGAGTTTGACTGAACTTAAAAAATATAACTTCAGTTTACTCAAAAGCTTTCATTACATTACTTTAGTTTTTGTGTAATAGAAATAACTTTTTTGAGTTTGACTAAACTTAAAAAATATACCTTCACTTTACTCAAATATATATATATAAAATATTATAGTGCTTTTGCTCACAATATACGTTTAATTTTATTTCCTAATGTCTAAAAACAGAAACAGACATCAAATCTCTTTTTTAGTTCACGTTTTTTTATTTAAGTTTTAAAAAAACCTTTAATAAAACATTGGGAATAGTTTCGATAAACCAGTTTAGCCAGAAAAAAAAGGCTTAACAGTGATGCAGGTCACTCAAACGTTATTTAACAGAAAGACCTTGGTAATTTTAAAAGAAAGCTCATCCGTCTTGTTACTAAAAAAAAAAGAAGAAAAACACAAATTAAACAACAAATTATAAAAGCTATGAATAAAAAGACATTGCGACAGAATCAAAGCTAACACAACCAATTATTCAACTAAAATTAGTCACAAACAGTGCATCAATGGTGACGTTTTTGAAAGGGCATATAACCATCTCGTGATTTCTTTAATGACATCTCAAGTGTCCAAATAATCTTGACTTAGAAAAAGGCTTCTTAAAGTCACACAAGGGACAGGTGAAACATAAATGTGGTCCTTGTGCTCCATCAGTTGCATCAAGTCTGCCTGTGCCAGTATGACAATGTGAAAGATGGGTTTTAACTGTATTAAATGACTGAAAAATGCAATTGTTGTAGAGGCACGGCAGTGGGCTGACTCTTGAATACTGACTATGTTGCAAACGATAATGTGTAAATAACTTTGCCAAGGTATCCAGGGACGTAGAACATAGTTTGCATCTCCAGTCCATGTTCGGCCTGCAATTGAATAAAATATTTCTTTAATGAGTAAGTGTTTAGGTAAGCATAATAAAGTAGGTGCTGATCTAGAGGTTACAAATGAAATAAAAGTAATAACTATTATAACTCAAATCCAAGCAAATCCTCTGTAACAGTTTGGAGAATCCCAACTATTAATATTACCTTTTTACAACCCATTTAAAGTTTACAGCTGGACTCAATTATTTCACCTCTATTAAATATCAACTTCAGTAAAAATAGTAGAGAATGAGAGACCTGTTTTACAAAAGGAACAATTAATTAAATACTGACTAATGATGTAAAATACTCAATACGTTAATAAGGCCAAACATGTTAATTCTGTTCAGTATAAATAGACTTACATTTGCTATTTTTAATGTAATTAATAATGCAGCTTTAAGAAATATATAAATATATAAAGATACCTTAGATATTGGGGGTGTTGCTCAATAATTGGTTTCCACCCTGGATGAAATGAGCTGATAAGAGAAATAGAAAATTTATTTAATTATTTCAATTTGTTAAACATTGTGATCCATGTTTACTTTTTAAGTAAGAAAAACAAAAGTAAGAAAAATTGACTTACCAGATGAAATGCTTTCATCACGTCTGTGGGAATGATGATATGGCCTACAGCAGCTCTCTGTGAAAAAGTTTCATGTTTAATTTACACATAATAACCTCTTACAAACTAAATTCAATGTAGATATTTATATTTTTTGGCCATCATTCAAACTGGTTCATCTCCATTTTATTTGGTTAGATTTTTAAATATTCAACAAAGTTTAAGTGAGTTTTTGTTTAATTCATAAAGCTTAGTTTTTATTTAGTTTCAGTTAACTGAAATGATTTCTTAATTATAGTTAAAAGGATTTAAATTGAGTTAAAATTATTTTTATTTAGTGAACTATTAAAAATATACATATATGGGCAGACCTGCATACGTGACAAGTTAACTTGTACAATAATATTCTTTCTCTTAATAACATACCTGAATCTTTCAACAGACAATCAACAATTAAGAAACATTTACAGTATACTCACCACAGAAGATCTCCGAGCTTTAGGAGAAGCCCCAGACTCAGAACGATGCAGCTGACGAGTGGATGCTAGTGGTCTGTAGCAGGTGTACAGTAACACAGAGCTAACGTTGCTAGCTTGCGAAGGTGCCGAGTGCCCCAAACTCACTTTAACCGCTGTGGTCAAAAAACACAATATAAACTATTCTTTTCTGTGCAATGGTTATACATAAAACTGGCGCACAGTTTTAATACTGTTTGTCACCTTTACTCATCTGTCTCTGCCAAGTCCAGCCTCAAGAAGGCACCCGTTTTTTTTTTTTTTTTTTGTTTTTTTTAAGAACGTGCCCAACATGACGTAAGCACGCAGCGTTCCACATTTACTTAAAATATTTCATTGAATGACAGCCATCAACTCAAAAGTATTAATCTACTTCAAATTAAAAGAACATTATTCAGTCAGAAAACTCATTAATTAATAGTTATTTTTACAGAAAACTTGATTTTGAGTTATCTACCCTTAATAACTTTAAGTTAGTAGTACTGTTTGGGTTTACAGTGTGTTTCGGGAGAGTGATCATAGCGCTCTTCATCAGCAGGGCTGTGTCTGACTCCCTGCCACCTCCCAGATCAGCTTCTCAGATTGGTTGATGTGGCACATCCAGCAGTAAAAGTTCAGTTCTTCCAACTCCAGCAGCTGCTGCTTCAGCAGCGCGTTCCGCGCCTCAGATACTCAGAAGCTCATGGCGCGGTGCTTTGCCGCATCAAAATGCGCTGCTCCTGCTGCTCAAAATGCGTTGCAGGACCTTTTGAAGTGCCTTGATGCATGTCAACCATAGACTTGGCATGTAAACTAGCTACTTCTGCTGCCTCTAATGCGTGTGGTCTGAACATAGCATAATGTTTTTAAGCAAACAACATGAAGCAGTTCATTTCTTGAAACAGTCCCAGCAATAACTTAAAACAACTTCCACCCTTGGTAACAACAATTAGCTTTGTAAATACCTGAGTTATTGGACCCTTTCGGAAGCAGCAATATCCAGCACAATATTATTTAAAAGGATTGTTTTCTTATCTGTTGTCTCTCTGGTAGTGTTCATGCCTGTCAGTTCGTTTGATTTAACATGTTTGGGAGTTTAATGCACATATTTAGTTTCCAAAGAACTCTAAATATGTGCTTCAGCTTTCTAGTCCTCATTTATACAGGAGATTGTAACAAAATGGTTTCTAGCCTTCTGCTGCCAAGCTTGGGTTTATATCATGGACACGGTCAGAAACTAAGCTGATCGAATGAAGATAATCTAACCAGCTAAACTACTTTGTCTGCTATCTTCCTTTGTAGGTCTGGTACATGGACGGTTATCACAATAATCGCTTTGTCAGGGAGTACCAGTCGATGTATGACTTCATGACCGCAGATAACTTCACCTCCCATCGCCTGCCTCATCCATGGTCTGGTACCGGCCAGGTGGTTTATAACGGATCTATTTACTACAACAAGTTTCAGAGTCACACCATCATCAAATTTGACTTTAGCACTTCACTAATTAGTCGCTCCCGACAGCTCGACTTTGCTGGTTACAACAACATGTACCATTATTCATGGGGAGGGCACAGTGATATTGATCTGATGGTGGATGAGGGTGGGCTCTGGGCTGTGTATGCAACCAATCAAAATGCTGGAAACATAGTTCTAAGCAAATTAAATCCAAACACTCTACAAATAATCCGCAGTTGGACCACCAACCATCCAAAAAGAAGTGCGGGTGAGGCCTTTATGATCTGCGGGACATTGTATGTCACCAATGGTTACTCAGGAGGAACAAAAGTGTACTATGCCTATTCCACCAACTCCTCCACATATGAATACATTGATATTCCCCTGACCAACAAATACAGCCATCTGTCCATGCTTGACTACAATCCTAGAGACAGAGCACTTTATGCCTGGAACAACGGCCACCAGGTTCTGTATAATGTAACTCTTTATCACATAATACAGTAACTTAATCTTATTTTAGCTTTCCTTCTGTGTCAGTGTTTATATTGATATCATTCTCACTAAAGACAAAACATTTCCTCTAACTAGAAATTAAATCTTTTACTAGCCTCAGGCTTCTCTACCTTCTAACTTTGAGACACCTGTAAGTGAAAAGGGACTATTAGGATAATTTATGTGCTTCCATGCCAGAACGACGTGTTTAGGCCCACAAGCTGAGACTGTTTGATGGCAGAAAAGATTCAAACTGTTCTTACCCTCAACCCTCTTGTTATAAGATTTCCTTATAACACAGAAGTTCACTGCGCTTTGTTCGATGATGACATGGTAGTGTGAGTAGTATCAATGATAGTCCTACAGTTTAAAAGATTAATAAAATGTCTTTTATTGTTGGGGTTCGATATGATCACAACACATAATACTCAAATTGAATGTAAGGATTTCGCCCAGAGCTTTGGCTATTAATTATTAAAGCCATCTCAAATTAATGTTGGACAAAAACTATTGATCAGTCTGTTAAAACATTCTTAGTCATGAACTCAGGTAATAAAGAGCTAAGGACAAACTACTGATATCTAGATAATTAAAATAACTGTCCAAATTAACCGTAAAGGAATCCAGTCAAAGAACGCCACTATTTCTAGTTTGAAAATCTAAAACTGATGCAGTGCAAATGTTTTTTTTGTAACACGCCAAATCAAAGATCCTTCTCAGCACTGGAAACACAGAAAAAGACAAACAGACTGTTAACTTTAAGGTTGTAAATGTTATTTGATTGGTAAATTAGCAACTTTCTGCAACTGACTTAAAGCTTTCACATAGTTTCTATTTGGATGAACAGGTTCTATGGGGGGGTATATTTTTTTCAAGTGTGATTGTAACTCAATTTAATTGTAGTTTTTTTCTAAACATGACATATCATACAGCAATAGTGATATTATTCTCTTTTCCACAATGTTATTGCTAGAAGTTTTTGCAGGAAAAATTAATTTTTACAATCAGAAACTTTTGTGAAGACTGTTTCTTAATATTGTTAGTTTTAGGTTTGTAAAACACTGTAATAAGACTTTGCACTAAAATATTTACCATTTCTGTTATGTTATTAAAATATACCATATATTTAATTTGTACTGATGGCTGTTGTAACGTAGGCTTTATGATAGAAATTATGGAAATCAATGTTTTTTTTTTATTGGCTGGCTTTTCTGTACTTCTGAAGTAATGATGTTCATGTTAGAATTTTCCGACACATAAAGCAATCTTAATTATTACTTTAATCATTCATTTCAAAATATAACAGTGGTCTGCTTTCAACACTTTTACCATATTATTTATTGTAATGATTTGTGCTGATTCTTTTTTAACTATGGTAATGTTGTCCAACATAAAATGGTTATTGTATATTGAGGAAATAAAGTGGGAACTATGTACATGTTTAGGTTAAGTCTGTCATGATTGTTTTAAGAGATCTGATCCACATGCAGAGAACCACTCAGAGACCAGGGGAAAAAGTTCAACAGGTTTATTGAAAGGGATGGTTTCACAAAGTAGGAACTGGAACTCCGTGAACTGGTGAACTGGAAAGTCTGGAGGGAAGATCACAGTGATCACTTCAGGGACCATGGGAAAATTGACTGAAGCTTGAATACTGTTGGAGCGGGACTCACGTTTTAGGGGGTTCTTGTTTATCCTTGAATCCAGTCAGTGTGGGCTTATCCAGAGAAGAGAGAACTTGTTGGAGAGCAGACAGGTAGACTGTCGTTGGACCCAGAGGAGCAATGGAGCGGACTGTCACTTGGATTTCCGAAAGGGACTTGAATGGCTCATGTGAATGTTTTCCCCTGCTCAGTGTGAACTCAATTAATCCTTCCAGGGGGAGAAGGCCAGGCATCCAGTTACACAGGAAGGCTCCCTGCTGAAAGGCAAAGACAAAACAATATAAAACTCAGAGAAACAAAGGCTCAGGTTAGACTTGGCTAATCTCAGCTTGGCTACAGTACCCAAAACTGGCAAACACTCTGGCGTCGAGGTAGTGACAGCCCACTGCTCAAGTACTCCTCCAGATAATGATCCAACGAGCCGCAGGTGTGCAGGGAGGCCCAACGAGGTCGGGGCACCACCTGGTGGTGGAGAGAGAAAAAACACACAAACTTGATTCCTAACAAAGTCCTTCTTTGATAGAGATTTTTCTGGTAGAAATTGCCTTTGCTAACTACTCAGTTCAGTTTATTTATATAGAGGCAATTCAGAACACATGTCATCTCAAGGCACTTTAAAGTTCACCAGATTATCCAGTCAGATTGATTCAAAATTTTCTATCTAAGGAAAACCAGTAGATTGCGTTGAGTCATTGACTCTTCAGCAATGCCTCACACTAAGCATGCTTGTAGCGACAGTGGAGAGGAAAAACTCCCTTTGAACAGAAGAACCCTCCAGCAGAACCAGGCTCAGTGTGAGCGGCCATCTGCTGAGGCCCACTGGGGTTCAAGGAGACAGAAGCAGACATAGAAAAAGAAGCATAGATACAAAAGGCAACTGTCAACCAGCTCCACAGGCGGCCCCCGTCCAGGAAACACACAGCCAGGCAGACGAGCTCCGAGCCAGCTCCCATGTCAGAGGATGAAGAGAGCACATCCAGTTAGTCACAGTCAGAGAAACAGGACTACACTGGAAAACAGGCCAAGCTCCAACATCTAGAAACAAAGGTGTTGATGGCAGCAGCACAGCTGATATTTCTCTCCAGGATGGAGTCACAGCCAAACAGGAACAGACCAGATGAAGCTACTATGAGAAAAAGCAGAGAGAGCAGAATGTTAGAGATTGAACTAACAGATTCTGCAGTGGGAGAATAGAGATAGAATGAAGCAGAATGATGAAAAAGGGGTCCCTATGTCCTCCAGCAGTCTAAGCCTATAGCAGCAGAACTATAGAGATAGCTCAGGATAACCTGAGCCACTCTAACTAGAAGCTTTATCAAAAAGGAAAGTTTTAAGCCTAGTCTTAAAAGTAGACAGGTTGTCTGCCTCACGGACTAAAACTGGTAGGGTTAGGGTTAGGTGCAGGAATAGTGTCACAATGATATCCCCCTAATTCAGGCCATTGACCAAAAAAGGTATGGTTTAGGATGTCAAAGGCAATGCACGGGCCGACGCATGTAACTCAAGAGCCCATCTCCATATGTTTAGCACAGGAAGAAGATACATAGTAAATACATTCTGAAGCAATTAGGTCAAAGTTATTGTTGTATAGAGTTTTAGAATAGGATAGTATAGTGACCCTTTAACAGGTCCTAATACAATCCAAATACTTCAATAAGGTTAAAGTTGGAATTCAAAAATAAGGTATGTGTATATCATCTTATTAAAGTAAAATAATTGTAATTGTAAGGATTTAATGTTAAAATAAACCTTTTGGAACCCCAAGATCATTGGGTGTTTTGGCCATTACCACTAGACACCCTCACCAGATTAAGGCCCAGACAGGCATGATCAGTCCCTGCTGTGTCCAATAGCCAATCACATATAAATATAGTTACCCATAAAGTTTAGAATAAAAATTATATAAGCTATTATCAAAAAGGAAAAGCATGCCATAAATAAATTATTTCTTTCTATAAACTTTTACTAACACAAAGGGTCAGGATCCGGTCAAGCCAAAATCCTAAAATTGTATAAAAAAAACAATGTATGATTTAGATTAAGATATAGTAAACCAATAGACTTTTTAAAAAATTATGGACAAAGAGCATAAAGATCCATACCCAGTTGAATACTATAGTCAAAGAAAGGATTAAACCATAAATTAAATACCGCCTTCTAAGAATGCTTGCTAATATCAATGGACCAGATCCGACAAAACTAAGATCATTGGAATTTTATAGAACCAAGAAAGTTAGGGTAAGAAAGATAAAAACAAAGGGGTTAGGTTAAATAAACTCTGTAGAAGAATATGGATCAAGACTAAAAGATCAATACCCGATTGGGTATTCTTCAAGAAACCTATGTCCCATTGCATCCTCGGCCTAGTCACCTAAGCTGGACTGGGGGATGTAAGTTTGTTTAGGGGAAAAAAAGTTGACAATTTGAAGGAGTCCAATTGTAGTTAAGCGGAAAAAACAGATTAGATGTTTGTGGTGTGGGTATATGCTGTATGTTGGTGAGGCTAACCCTCATAGAAGACTGCACCGCGATAAAGGTCTTGAGCCCTGGACTGCCACACCTTGTGTACGTTGCTCCAATATGGGAACTCAAGGGGGCTGCAGACTTACCTCCTTACCCAGTACCCTTTGCTGAACAGATCTGTTGTTTACACCGTTAGGTTACTCCGACCTGCCCAGGTAAGGCTGAAGATCTGGGTCCTCCATACCGGAAGGTGAGTCAGTTCATCATAGTCGTGTAGTCCAAGCCAGAACCAATTCTGAGAGACTGCGATCATTCAGGTGTTCCCCATGGTCAAGGGACACAAGGAACGACCGCAGAAAGTCATTGCCATGCAGAAGTCCTCCAGGTTACCGCAGTCCCCAAGAATCAAGGGCCAAATCCCCAAGATATGTAGGAGGATCGCATTTGTTTTCGACCCTCCAGATCACCACGGCGGGGCAGGTCCAGGAAAACAAGGAGGCTATGGCAACCAGGGAGACAGAGAGTCCCCAGGGAGAACAAGGAATGGCGGCAAAGTTAATTGTTGCCATCCAGGCCTCCCCAGGTGGTATGGCTCCCTGCCCCTGTCTGGTAACCCCAAAGGCTGGAAAGGGAAAGACTTCAGCCAGGCTACGGCCATCCCAATCACCTTGGAGAGGGGAGGCAGGAAAGGCCACATCGAACTATGTTCTTCCTACCTCCCCAGAACCATACTGGAGGTTAACTTCAGAGATCCTCCAGGTTACCGTCGCCTCAATAAACCAAGGGCCAGACCCCAAGGCGGGAGTTTCACTTACCTGTGGTAGAGGTCCCACCCCCGACTCCCACATTAAAGGAATGGGGGCAAAGCTGTAAAAATCAAGGATTTTTATAACTCTAGACAGAGAGGCAGACATGGGCAATGTGGAGTCAACAACTCATCTCCATGTCATGTATTTGTTCTACCCAGCCACTGAAGCAGGTGAGTCCAATCTTCACCGTGAATTAACCTGTGCAGATTGGACTCAGCTGGTTAATTGGCTGGGTAGAACCAATACATGACATGGACATGACTTGTTGACTCCACATTGCCCATGTCTGCAGAGAGGAGTAGCAATTTTAATCCACAAAAACCTAAGTTTTACAATATTACACAAAATTATTGATCCCGAAGGCAGATTCATCATAGTTAAAATATCTATTTATAACCAAAAGTTATATATTGTCAGCATATATGGTCCAAATGTTGATGACCGCTCATTCTTCCACAAAGTTTTCCTCGCACTTTCAAAGCACGGGGATTGTTCTCTAATTATTGGGGGTGACCTCAACTTTGGTCTAAATGGAGAAATGGACAGGTTGAATACAACAGGGACTCAGCGCCGTTGGCAATCATTAAATGTAGTTAAACAATACATGAGTGATTTTGGTCTTTGCGATGCATGGCGATCTCTTCATCCCAACAGTAAGGAATACACTTTCTTTTCTAATGTTGATCATTCCTACTCTCGTTTGGACTATTTCCTAATCAGCAGCTTGCTGCTGTCTGATGTCTCAGATGCTGTAATCCATCCTATTGCTGTCAGTGATCATGCTCCTGTTACTTTAACCCTAATAAATAAGAAAATAGCCCCACAAAATAAGAGCTGGAGATTAAATACATCACTGCTTAAAGATGAAGAGTTTTCCAAATTTTTCAAGGAAGAGTGGGCATCATACTTGGAGTGCGATGATTTACCAGGAACATCAGCATCTATACTATGGGAAGCAGGGAAAGCAGTGATGAGAGGTAAAATTATTTCATTCTCATCTCCTAAAAAAGTTAGAACAAGAAAAGATACAGGAATAAGGAGTAAAAAATTAAGTTACTAGAAAGCTCGCAAGATGAGGAAAAATTAGGTAAAATAAAACTAAAATTAAACGAAAATATTGAAAAACTAAATAAATTTTATAAACAAAGACTCCGAATAGAAAACAACACAGCACTAAGTAAGGAAGTTTCTTAGCTAATCAGCTAAAAGTAAACAGAAAAAAACGAGTAAATCTGCAGTTACAGACTCGACTGGTAATACATTATAGGATCTGGAGGTTATTAACAATGCCTTCCGAAAGTTCTATAAATCTTTTAACACATCCCATTTAAATCCAAGAGATAATTATATCAAGCAATTTCTGGATGAAACAACTCTTCCTAAATTATCAGAGAGTCAAAGAGTGACCCTGGACTCACTGCTGTTAACACCTGAAGTTCAGGAAGCATTAAAAAACATGACCAATAATGAAGCGCAAGGTCCAGACAGGTTCCCCACTGAGTTCTATAAAGAGTTCTGGAACATTTTGGCCCCAACGTTCCACAGAATGCTGCAGGAAACTCAAGGTAATGGCAAATTTCCAGTTAATATGAATTCCTTTTTTTTTTTTTTTAACAGTGTCCTGTCTGGCAAGGTGGCAATAAGAATAATTGTCTTGATGCCAAAAGGAGCCCAACAGATTTTACTTTCACAAGTGTAGCAGTATGGCTATCGCCATATTGCTCCACTTGTTTCATGCATATAAATTGCTTTATTATAATTATGCAGGGAGTTTTACAGTTCATATGGACACTGCAATGTAAGTAGAGCAGAAAAACAGAAGAAGAAAAGGAAAAAAGAAAGAGAAAAGAAGAAAGAAGAGAAAGGAGACAATGACAAAACATCTTCAGTCTGCTTCATCACCTGTAACGAGATGAAAAAAAGAACAGCACAACCAAAAGACACGGTACGAGATATACAATAAAGCAACACCTTGAAACTATCGCTAAAGTAATATTATTAAGTCTGACATGTACTCTGTGTTACCAAAGGGACCCCAAGAGCGAAGGCACCAAGGAGGGGCCAGCCCCAGAAATCGGACCCCCACCAAGGGAGGAGGAGAGACAGCCCCCAAGAAGCCCCCCAGCCACGGCCATGCCGGCGCCCCGGAGGCCACCCCGAAGTAGGCAGTGTTGTGCCTGAACGCGTTCATTGAACTCGTTCATATTTTGGGCGAACATGAACTAAGCGTACTGTATTACTGCCTGATGAACGTTATTGTGAACTTGTTCATTCTGGTGTCTGTGAACGGCACGCTCTCTCAGTTCAACTCCGTTCAATAGGTTGCCAGATTTCTATAGAGCCCTCCAGGCGAAACCCCAGCTAAATCAAACCGTAAACAGGCCTTAATATGTAGCGGGAAAAACACCCAATCTGGCAACACCAGCTACCAGCATCTTAGCCTACAGCCGCGTGCGTCATCAAAACAAAATGCAGCGTGGAAGCCACAGCAGCGTGGAGGCGACAAAGCAGCAGTATGATCACTTAAAACAGGTTTATGACCAGGTGGTCGGTGAGGACGATGGCAACAATCTTACATTTCTCTGCAAACTTTGCCCGCCGGCTTTCAGTAAAAAAATCCGCACTTTAGTAACCTTAAATTCCTACATCAGCCTGGTCCCTCAGTTTGGGTTAGTAAAATGTTCTTGAGGGTTTTACTATTCATGTAAACCTACCTGGTATAATTTTCCAGGATTCCTTTTTAGTATGTACTGAAATGGAATATCAAATGGAAAAAAATATTAAAATTAAAAAAACATTTGCACCTTAAAGAGTACTTTCCTGTTTTTCTTTTAATAATTCCTCATAAAAAGACCATTCAAGCAGCACATTTTTCCTGATGTTTCTGACAATATACTGTAGGGGTGAAAGCTGCAGCTGCTACTAGTGTGAAGTGAATGGACAGCAACAAAGCGTTAAAGCAACAATGGGGAAATGCTGTCCCCTCAATGCTAATGTAAACCCTGGTTGGACAAGGATTCAAAACTGGATATGAAGATGAAATCTGACGCACAATTTTATAGTTACAACTGATAAAATAATTGCTGTCTGTGGTTCTACAGTAGGCTATGGTGTAGTTGAGCAATATATGAAAAAAAAAGAACTATGAACTAGTTCATTTTTTGGAACTGTGAACTTAGTTCAAAATTTTGAATAATGAACTATGAACTGAACTAGTTCATTTTAAAATGTGTGAACTGAACTTTGAACTAGTTCACGTAGAAAGAGAACTTTCCCAACACTGCCCACAGAGCGCCGAAACGCGCCCCGCCCCCCGGCACCAAGCCCCGAAAAACACACAGGCGGCCGCGCCCACCACCGGGGCCCACGCGCATCCGTCGCGATCCAGCCGCAAGCGCCGCGGAACCCCCTCAAAATGCCCCCAGGCCAAAAACGCGACCCTGCCCCACCAAGACAGACGCCAACAGCGCGCAACGCAACACACCGTGCACAGAACCGACCCAAGAGCAGAAAAGCCGCCCGGCGCCCGACCGCCAGAAGAGCAGACCGCAGCCGGCTCGACCACCCCCCCAGCAGCCCGCGGGCAGCACAGAGCCAGAGTGGAGCAAACCACGCCGCTCCCCCATCGGACGAAGCCAGAGCAGCACAGCCGCGTCCGCCACCTGCACAAGCCTCCAACATGCTGCCGGACCACCTCCGCCGCCCCGGCCCCCCGACGCGTGCCGGCCGGAGCCACTCCAACCCCCACCCACCCCGCAGCCACACCCGCCGCGATAAGCGGGACCAAAGCAGCTCCACCATGCCTCCAAGCGGGAAAACCCACCGAATACCCGATCAGCGCAGCCAGCCCATCCACACCAGCCCCCCAACACCACCCCCGCCGGAGCCGCCCAGCAGTGTTGGGCACGTTACTTTGAAAAAGTTGTTAGGTTTTATTATTTTTACATCATGTGCACTGTTAATTTGTTAGTCAGATTAGACAGAGCAGAAGGCCTTCCTTCATATTGCGGATATCACGGTGTGTATGGAGGTCATCTAATCAGGACAGCTTTCGTGTCTCTAAGAATACACAGGTTAGGATATGGGCACATCTTGGAGCCGGTCTGATAGGAGAGCTGCTGTATCTGTAACCCTGAGACAGAGAGGCAACCTGCATGGAGTTCAAGACATGGATGGCGTGTCAGTTTCTGATACGGACAGCTAAGCATCCACATGATGCAACACAGACTCAGAAGGTATAAGAAGCAGGAGATGACGTTGTTCGGGGCTCAAACTTTGCCAGACGCTTGCGGACGTGATTTTTGAGACCACAGCTGTGCATAGCTCTAAGCATTTTCTCTGTCCTGTAACGACCTGATCTGGAATAAACTCTGTTACTTTTTTACTCCTGTTTTAGTCCTTTTTTATATGGTTTTACCCAGTTTGAGTTAAGAGTAGTAAATAACTTGCTCCCAGGAAAAGAACCGGCGAGAAGGCCCCTGGGGCGCTACAGCCTTCCTTACAAGGGGACAAATCCTTCTCACTTTAACAAATTGGTGTTTCCGCCCGTGACCTGGAAGCAAAACAACAGAGCCACCGATGGAAAAAGCTCCACAGCCTGCGGCCGAAACAACTGATAAGGTGAGGAGATTCCTTATTACAAAATATCTCCAGTGATTTTTACTGTTGAAACACTTTGGCTGTGTTGTGATTTTCTGAAGTGAGCTGAAGCTTTTTATGCAAAAGAGGACAGAGAAATTGCTCAGAGTGATTTTAGTTTTTTGTTTTTGCGGTTTTTGTTTTGTTGTATTTGTTGGTTTTTTTATTTTTTACATTGCGAACGTGTACACATAAAAAAAAAAGAGAGAGAGAGAGAAAGTCGTGCGTTCTGCTGTGGGTAGAGGTTGAAAGTCCGACTGAAGGCGACTGCGCAAACGTCTTCAAGAACTATACTGCTCACTAGGATAAGTTGGTTGGAGAGCCCAACGGTTTCTGCATGCAGAAAGGGACGGTGATTTTATTCCCGGTCTGCCTGCAGACACGAAAGATGCACTTCTGAAAACAGACGCACAGACAGAAACCAGTCACATAGCCGGCTAGAGTTTGCCAGTATACCTCCCATAAGGACATTTACAAAAAACCGAGACTGGGAATAAGCGAGGGGGTCAGGTTGAAACTGACCTTTGGGGTGTTTTTCTCTTTCCTTCTCTTCTCTTATAAAAGGAAAAGAGAGAGACGATAAAATGATATTCCCCATAAAACTAGAAGAGACTGATGCCCGGATTAGGTAACTTGTTTGTCTAATTCCATAATTGGTGGAGTGAACTAGGCGGAACTATATATAAATCTTTTTTCCTTTTCTCTAAGTTTCTTTTCATTTTTCCTTTCCACTGACGGACGCATTTTTTGACGGACACACTTCCTTGACGGACAGAGTTGTTGACGGACGCGCTTCCTTAGCAGAAAAGCGGCTCACTGAAGTTTATAGGTAAAAAGTTTAAAGCCCAGAGGGATCTCACGTAAGACGTCGAGGTCTAATTTTATACACTGTGTGAATGGAAGGTGTGAAAGATGGATGCATGTGGACTAGAAATTGAATCCAGAAACACCTCGTTAAAAGCGAGTCTGGATAAAGGGAGAAATATGATCATGGCGAGTTATCCATTGAAGGATGCAGAACACCACATTAGAAAATTTGATGAATGGGTTGAAAAAATGAGAGAAGATGGAGTGTTTGGGGAATTAGAGGGGCCCCCTCCAAACACTTCACAACGTGGTTTTTATTTGGATACACTAAAAAATAGATTGGGTTAGGGGAAAACAAGACCTAGCTCTCCCTGGCAGTCTTTTAATTTTGTGTTTAAATGAGTTTTTTTAGGGTCAGATTAAGATTAGGATTAGATTTTAAATAAGGGTTAAATGTCCAATATAGGATTTAGGATTAGAATCGGATTAGGATCAGGTTTGAATTTCTAATTAGGTTTAGGGTTATAAAATCTAGGGTTTAGGGTTAGGAAATTGAAGTCAGAGTTAGGAAATAATTTTTAAGATTCAGATTACAGTCAGTATTAAATTTCTAATTAGGTTTAGGGTTATAAAATCTAGGGTTTAGGGTTAGGAGATTGAAGTCAGGGTTAGGAAATAATTTTTAAGATTCAAATTACAGTCCGTATTAATTTTCTAATTAGGTTTAGGGTTATAAAATCTAGGGTTTAGGGTTAGGAGATTGAAGTCAGGGTTAGGAAATAATTTTTAAGATTCAGATTATAGTCAGCATTAAATTTCTAATTAGGTTTAGGGTTATAAATTCTAGGGCTTAGAGTTATGAAATTGGAGTCAGAGTTAGGAAATCATTTTAAAAGGGTTAGGGTTAGGGTTAGGGGTTAGGGTTAGGGTTGGGTTAGGTACAGAGGGCTACTCTCTCGATGACTCTCCCCGCCTCATCCGACGACTGGGCGGTTGCAATGGAGAGTCAAAGGCAGTGCACGGGCCGACGCTCGTCATTAGCAACTTCCACTTCCTAAGTCTTATCAGGTCTCAAAACACTCCATAACGGTAAAGGGTTAGGTTAGGGTTAGGGTTAGGGTTAGGGTTAGGGTTAGGGTTAGGGGAAAACAAAATTAAGCTCTGCTGCCACAGGCGGCAGAACTTGAATGCACTGTCCATCAACTGTTCCTGGCTCTCCCTAGAGGTCTTCCTAACCTAATGTTAAAATTAAGCTTTAATGGGATTTATCAGATATATTTTTTTAGAGTCCAATTAGAATCAAGGTTGCAATTGATATTAGGTTAAGAGATTAGGTTTATAGAATCAGGTTAGAGTCAGCATAGGAACTCCAGCTTAGGTTTAGGCATAGGCCTAGGATTTAGGTTTAGAAAATTGATATCAGGGTTAGAGATTAGGTTTTGAGAATCAGATTAGAATTAGCATAAGAGCCCCAGTTTAGGTTTAGGCATAGATCTAAGATTTAGGGTTAGGAAATTGATATCAGGGTTAGAGATTAGGTTTTTAGAATCAGATTAGAATTAGCATAAGAGTCCCAATTTAGGTTTAGGCATAGACCTAGGATTTAGGGTTAGGAAATTGATATCAGGGTTAGAGATTAGGTTTTTAGAATCGGATTAGAATTAGCATAAGAGTCCCAATTTAGGTTTAGGCATAGACCTAGGATTTAGGGTTAGGAAATTGATATCAGAGTTAGAGATTAGGTTTTTAGAATCAGATTAGAATTAGCATAAGAGTCCCAATTTAGGTTTAGGCATAGACCTAGGATTTAGGGTTAGGAAATTAAAGTCAGGGTAAGAAATTAAACTTTTAGAGACCAATTAGAATCAGGATTTAAGTTTTTCTTAGAATTGGTGTTAGGTCTAAAATTTAGGGTTAGAAAAAATAAATAATAAATCAGGATAGGGATTCAGTTTTTAGAATCAGATTAGAATCAGTATTAAAGATCTGGTTTATAGGCGTAAGGTCTAGGATTTAGAGTTAAGAATTTGAAGTCGGATAAGGGATTAAACTTTTAGAGTCATATTAAAATCAGGATTAAATTTCAAATTAGGGTTTCTTTTGGAAAGATTAAGAACTGTTCTCATCCCCTCCCGTGAACCCGGGCTAATGGGGATGATCAATTTACATAATCACCCCAATGTTTCAGCATACTACCGGCTGTTTGTCGTGTCCAGTGCACATTGTCTTTCTCTGTACCAAACTCCTCGTCTGGTAAAGCTGGAATGTGATTCTCCAAACCTGTGATGGCGTCGTTGAGGTGTCGAAGGATGGCCTGCTCTCTGTTCGGGAGACCTGGGGAAAAGTTAATAACTGGAACAAAAATGTCAGCATTGGGGAACCTGTTCTGTGCAGTCTTGAGGGCTTTCTTCAGCTCCGCCACTGGGGTCTTCTTCTCCTTCTGTGACCTGTTGTTGAGACCGAACGATAACACCATCTTCTCCACAGCAGCATCAGCGGTCGCCTTTTCCAGAAGCGCCTCAGCATGGGCCCATTTAGCTGCTGGAAAACTGTCAATTTGCAGATCTTTTGCAGCAAAAGGTGGGAGTCTTGCTATATTTGAATCCCCCATGATTAACCACTTTTCCCTGATGTGCAGGTTCCAGTCTTGCTTTTTGGGGGTGCTGGGATGCCTTGTGGGTGCACTGACCTGTAGCTGTGGTAAAGTTACAGCAGAAGATGAAGATTCCTCCTCTGCCGACTCCACCTGCAGGTGGCTCTGGGTGCTGCGCTGTAATTTGCGTCTGCTGATCGGGCCCAGCTTGATGTCCAATGGAGGAGTGTTGGGGGTCTCTGGAGGTCTGCTCCCGCTGGCTGGAGGCTGCTGCTGTCCTTCATCCTGTGAGGACTCACCTTCACTTTCTGTCTGCTCCCCTGTTTCTGCTGCAGCTTGCTCTGGAGGGGGAGAAGGAGGAGCAATGGAGGAAGGGGAAGCTTGGGGGATGTTTTCCCTTTCAGATCTTCTCCCTGTCCCTGCTTCCTGCTGGACAGCTCCCGTATTCTTGGCTCTTGGTTCCCTCTGTGGTAAACGCACAGGCGTTGTGTGTGGCTGGTCCTCTGAAGAAGCATCTGAATGGATGCTTTCCTCATAGTCCTCCTGATCACTGTGTTCAAAGATGGTTGACCAATCATCTGTAGTTGGAGCCTCTCTTCTCTGCAGTGTCTTTAAGCCTCTTTGCTGCTGCTTAGAGATGTTGTGGATGAGGGCAGAAATGGTGGTTCGCTTTGTGGCTGCAGGTTGGGCTGCGGTGGTGGACACAGCTGCTTGCAGTGGGGTGGGGATTTCCCTCTCTTGTGGTTGCTGATGGCTGGTTGCTTCCCTGTTAGCAGTGGTCTTGGTGGTGGGCCTCCTGCTGGCTGGTTTTGTTTTTACCTTTGCAGCTCTCAGCCTCCTCTGTGTGGGTTGCTCCTCTGGAGTTTGCTGTCCAGAATCCTCACCTCTCCAGCCCAGATCAGCCAATTTCGCCACAATAACTGCCTCTGTCTGTTCCAGTGTATCTGGATGGAGCCTACGACCCAGATTGCGTTTCGCCCAGGAAGCTGCAATCTGAAAGGGTTCTGCCCAGTCCTGTGTGGAAAGATCTGCTAATGATCTCATCCCCTCCTCCAAATATTGTTCATAATGGTTTTGCAGCACTGTTATGGTTGCTTGTCCCCAATTTTTAGCATTTCCCTCAATTAACCTTCTAGTCTCATCAGTGGGGATTGCAGGTTGGATGAAGGTAGATAAATTTTTAACCATTTTCTTCAATGCTGGCGGTTTGTCCCTCTGTGACACATTGTTCAGATGATGCACAGCTTTAATAAGTTTGTGAATGATCCTAACCTTCACTGTGAAGTCTGGGTCATCTGATGGGAATCTGTCAGCTTGGGGTTTGGGCCGCTGTCTGGGGGCGGGGTTACCCAATGGTCTTCTTCCATCCGGGTTCCATCCTTCTGCTCCATAGCGCTGCACTGTCCATCTATCCTCTCTGTAGGGCTGTCTGGAAGCTGTGAAGTTCCTGCTGCGGTCCCCGTCCCTCTCTCTGAAGCGGTTCTGGTCCTCACGCCGCCATTCGTCCCTCCTAGGAGGAGAAAACGCTTCCCTTCTCTCTCTGTAGGAAGGTTGGCTGTAATAGCGGTTTCCCCACCTCTTTTCATCAGCTTTCCAGTCACATTCATCCTGTCTGTCCCTCTTCCGTCTCCGGTAATCAACCACAGTCCAGGGATCATCCTCAGAATAGGCTGGCATTTTTTTATTTTTAGTATTTTAACTTAAAACGGTCTTTCAAAAAATATGAATTATTTATTTATCATCTGAGAAAAACTGCTGCCTTGTGTTTCTATGCTAACAAAAAGAAAAAAGAAAAAAATCGGCTTTCTCTCTTGCCAAAAGGCAATTTTAATATGCAAAACTGAAAAAAACAAGCCACAAATGCAACGTTTCGGTTTATAACAAAACCTTCATCAGGCTGGCTTGTTAAAAATAATCAGACTTACATTTATGGACTTTACAGCAGCATGCAACATGTCTGTCTCTCTGTTCCATGTGGAGAAGTTAGCTAACAGTCTCTGTGCAGCAGTGTTCAGGGCCTGCATGTGCCCAGAGCCAATCAGGAGGAGTCTTACACTGGGATCCTGTGTCCCTCTCCTAAGGAGGCTCTCCATTGGTCCATTCTCCCTGTGCTGCCTTCAAGGACATTCAGGAATCTGACAGAACGTTTTGCAGAAACAAACTACAACTTAAAATGACCAACATCTTCTGTTAGTATAAAATTATAAAATAAAACTTACTCTGTTACATCCAATACACCAACATTTCCACTTATTTGTACAATATAACCATTTCTTTACAGAGGAACTTAAAATAACTTAAAATGTAAAAAAATATTTTATTAAAATAACCTCTTCTCATGCGAAATCCCATAGTGTTTTATATACATGTTCTCTGTGTCTTCTCATAACAACTAAAATATTATTAAATTAAAGTAGACCAGGCGGGAGAGTAGGTTGACAGGAGGCACGGGCTGGTTAGGGGAAAACAAAATTAAGCTCTGCTGCCACAGGCGGCAGAACTTGAATGCACTGTCCATCAACTGTTCCTGGCTCTCCCTAGAGGTCTTCCTAACCTAATGTTAAAATTAAGCTTTAATGGGATTTATCAGATATATTTTTTTAGAGTCCAATTAGAATCAAGGTTGCAATTGATATTAGGTTAAGAGATTAGGTTTA